CAATCCTAGCCAATAGACTCCAATAGCATATCAAAACAAATAAAATAAATAAATACATTATGACCAACTGGGATTCATAACAGGTATGCAAGGATGGTTCAACATTAGAAAAACAATTAACGTCATCTACCATATAAATAAAACAAAGGGAAAGAACCACATGATCCTATCAATTGATACAGAAAAGGCATCTGATAAAATCCAACACCCATTCCTGATCAAAACTCTCAGCAAAACAGGAATAGAAGGGACATTCCTCAACATAATAACAAACAGCCAACATCAGTCTCAATGGAGAGAGACTGAAACCATTTCCCTTGCAAACATGATCCAGACAAGGATGCCCTCTATCACCACTTCTATTCAACATTGTACTGGAAGTCCTAGCAAGGGCAGTAAGGCAAGAAAGGAAAATCAAAGGTGTCCAAATTGGTAAGGAAGACATCAAACTATCCCTATTTGCTGATATGATCCTATACCTAGAAAACCCAAGAGACTCAGTAAAAAGTATACTGGAACTAATTGAGAGATTTGGCATCATAGCAGGATACAAGATGAACATCCAAAAATCAGTTGGATTCCTCTACACCAGCAAAGAGATCGCTGAAAAAGAAATAAGGAAATCAGTATCATTTACAACAGCTACCAAAAAAATAAAATACTTGGGAATAAATCATTCCAGGGAAACAAAAGACCTGTTCAAAGAAAACTATAAAAGACTTCTTCAAGAAACCATGTTGTTGTTGCTATGTGCTGTCAAGTCGGACCTGACTCCTAGAGACCCCTCCTTGGGTTTCTACAGAAGTAGATTGCCCAACCCTCCTTCCAAGGAGTGACTGGAGATCTATATAAATGGAAGAACATACCATGCTCATGGAAAGGGAGGTTGAACATTTTGAAAATGTCATTCTACCTAAAGCAATCTATACATTCAATCCAATCCCAACTCAAATCCAATTAACATTCTTTAAGGATATGGAAAAACCAATCACTAACTTTATATGGAAAGGAAAGCAACCTCAGATGAGCAAAGCATTATTGAAGAACAAAGTAGGAGGTCTCACACTCCCGGATATTAAAATCTACTATACGTCCACACAGTCCAAACTGCCTGGTAGTGGTATAATGATAGACATATAGACCCATGGAATAAAATTGAGAACCTAGAAATAGATCCATTGACCTATGATCTTTGACAAAGAGCCAAAATCCAGTAAATGGGGACGAGATTGACTGTTTAACAAAGATACTGCAAAAACTGGATGTCCATTTGCAGAAAAATGAAACACTATGCACAAAAACAAATTCCAGATGGATCAAAGACTTAAATATGAAATCTAAAACTATAGGGTTCCTCAAGGAAAAACTAGGGGAAAATTTAGGGGCCCTAATATATGTCATAAGGGCTCTGGTGGCGTAGTGCCTAAGGCATTTGACTGCTAACCAGAAGGCTGGTGGTTCAAATCCACCAGCCACTCCGCAGACGGAAGGTTGAGCAATCTACTTCCATAGTGATACTGCCTTGGAAACCCAATAAGGGGCCGCTATGAGTGGGATCCAACTTGACGGCAATGTGCTTGGTTTGATTTGGAATATACGGCATAAACAGACTATCAAGCATAACCCAAAATGCACAAACAGCAGAAGACAAACTAGATGAATGGGATCTTCTAAAAACTAAATTTTTATGTGTTTCCAAAGACTTCTCCAGAAGAGTCAAAAGAGAACCTACAGATTGGGAAAAAAATATTCAGTAATGAAATATTTGACAAGGGACTTATCTCTAGAATTTATAGAAAACTCCAACACCTCAACAACAAAAAGACAAATAATCAAATTAATAAATGGGCACCAAAGAGGATATTCAGGCGGCCAACAAACATACAAAGAAATGTTCACAATCATTAGCCATTTGTTGTTATTTGCCGTTGAGTCGGCCCGGACTCATAGCGACCCCTCCTTGGGTTTCCGAGTCAGTATCACTACGGAAGTAGGATTGCCCAACCTCGGATGCAAATCAAAACAACAACAAGATACCATCTGGCCCCAGCACTAGTGGCAAAGTTCAACAAGACAGAAAATAACAAATGCTGGTGAGGAAATGTAGAGATTGGGACTCTCATACACTGTTGGCGGGACTGTCTAATGTTATAACCACTGGAAAGCAGTATGGTGATTCCTTAAAAAGTTGGAATTAGAAATACCATTTGACCCAGCATATCCATTCCAAGTATATATCTTTAGGAAAAAAAGTGAGAGCCAGGACAAGAACACATATATGCACACCCATGTTAATCGCAGCACTTTCCCAATAGCCAAAAGATGGAAACAGCCTAGGTGCCCATCAACAGATAAATGGATAACTAAACCATGGTACATACACACAATGAAGTACTATACAACCCTAAAGAATAATGTAGAATCGGCAAAACACTGCACAACGTGGATAATCTTGGAGGACATTATGCTAAGTGAAATAAGTCAATCAAATAAGGACAAATATTGTATCAGTGCGTTATTGTAGTAATTCAAGGAAAGGCTTATATATGGAAGGAAATTTTCTTTGTTGGTTACCAGGGTGGGGGGAGGCGAGGGAACACTCTAGATAGGTAGAGAAAAGTATTGATGTGGGTGAAGAGAAGGGAAATGTATCAAATGTGAGTGATGAACACAGTGGCTTCCAGGAAGAAAAAGACACAGAGAGGTGCATGGGAGGTACAGACAACAAAGATGAACCCTTTTGCACACACAGTACTGTGTTGTCAGTGAAGGCAAACATGGATATATATATATATGTATATATATATATATGTATATATATATATATTTTGTTGTTGTTGTTGTTTTGTTGTTGTTGTTGTTGTTTGCCATCAAGTCGGCCCCGACTCATAGCGACCCCTCCTTGGGTTTCCAAGGCAGTATCACTACGGAAGTAGCTACGCCCAACCTTCCTTCCGAGGAGTGGCTGGTGGGTTTGAACCGCCAGCCTTCTGGTTAGCAGTCAAGTGCCTTAGCCACTATGCTACCAGAGCTCCTTTGTATATATATATAGGTGGATAGATGGGTGGATAGGCTGAATGTCTATGGTATGCTATGCAGTGCTGAGCATGCACAACCATGCATAGGGTTGGCAGAAAATGTTTCTACAAGTGTATTTGTATATTCTGTAAGAATTTCTAGGTATAGAGTAGAGCTGAGAAGGGGCAAGGTTGTAGTCACTTCTTGGACACAGCCAGCCACCCAGAGGGAGCGAGTAGTTGGACCTGTGGGCTCAGGACCATAGTCACAGGGGACATCAAGCTTAATTGACATAACACACTACACTAAAACATTGTTCCACATCCTACTTTGTTGAGTAGCAACTAGGATCTTAAAAGCTTGCAAGTGGCCATCTAGATGCAATGATGGGTGTTGCCTCGTCCACAGCAAAGAAAAATGAAGAAAACCAAAGACACATGGAAACCATAACTCCAAGTGACTGGTACACCATGTGATCCTAAGCCTATATGACTATGAGACCAGAAGCACTAGATGGTGTCCTGGTACCACTGTCAACCACTTGGAGGGTGATCTATATAGCAGATTCTGGATAGAGTAGGAGAACAACGTGGAACAAAACTCAAAATCATTTAAAAAAATGGAACAGGTTTGCTGGTCTGATACAGCCTGGAGGAACCACTGAGACTATGGCCCCTAGCTGCCCTTCAGGTCTGGAATTGAACCCACTCCTGTGGTTTCCAGCCAAACAAAAGACAGGCATATAAGCTGAACATTTACATTAGGTAATACACTTCTTGGAGAGATTAATCATGCGAGAATAGAAGGCTGTGTATGCACAGGGAGACAGCTCAGGGGGCAGGAGTGCAAGGGAGGAAAGGACGCGGCGAACAGATGCCTATGGGGAAGAGGTGGGAGGGGAGCTGTTGCACTCTGGTAAATTATAGTCCCAAAGTGTATGGGAGTTGCTGTAGGGAAAGTGAATTTGCTTTGTGAACTTTTACCCAAATCACAATAAAAATTAAAAAAAAATAAAGTCATGAAGTGGGACTCAGTAAGGAATGCATCTGTGTGTGAGAGACTAGAGGGAGCAGAAGGCCCAGGGGAGGGGTATCAGTTCCCAATAAAAGAGTCAGAAAGGCATTTGTGTGAGGAATAAAAAGGGACTGAGGAAATAATAAGTATATTGAGGATGAAAGAAGACAGGTTTTTCACTATTTGAGAAAGGAATTATAAATATGGAAAGACAAAAACTAGCTTTAGCTTTGTATGTTGGATGGGTAATGCAGGTATGGGTTTGAACTAATGGTATTCAATAAAGGTTGTTGTTATGTGCCGTCGAGTCAGCCCTGACTCATAGCGACCCCTCCTTGGGTTTCCGAGGCAGTATCACTACGGAAGTAGGATTGCCCAACCTTCCTTCCAAGGAGTGGCTGATGGGTTTGAACCACCAGCCATCTGGTGAGCAGTCAAGTGCCTTAGCCACTATGCCACCAGAGCTCCCTCAATAAAGGTACCGCAATGTATATAGAAATATACTTGAAATTATGTTCATATGTGTATCTGCATATGTATCCACCACACATGTACACATTCCCTTGCCCTATCCACCTCTAGGACCAATGAGAACACCTGATGCTCAGGTCTTGGTTTCTAAATACCATTATTTACTAAAATGGGTCAAAAGCTCCTTAGAGTAATGGCTAATTCAGGGACTGAGGCAGGGAAAGTATCAGGTGAGCCTGGAATATATTTTGGCCCCAGAAATTAAGGGAATGCTCCAAGAATGATCAGACATGTTCAAAGAACACAGAAGTCAAGACTCCCATTGGCCAAATCCAAGATAATTTGAGCATCAAAATCATAATAGCAACATACTAATTTCCTGATTTTGATGAGGTGTGATGCATTCTGAAATCTTTCAGAAAAAAGCTCCATACTTCCTTCACATAAGTGTTAAGCTATAGTAAAATAGTGAAAAAAGAAAGGGTGGTGTACTGGACCTGTTTGTTGAGCGTTTCCATTTTAAAGTAGGCCTGGTTTTTCTCCTTCTTCAAAACTTCAATTTCTTTCCTGTTGAAGAAGCAAAATATCACTGGGAATCAAATCGTTTCCTTCTGCTGGATAGAGCCCACTATGACATTATAACCCTATGTTAACTAGATCTTTATGTACACATAGAAGTTCTGGTGGTATAGTGGGTAAGGCATTTGGCTGCTAAACAAATGAAGAAAAGGTTGACGTTGTCAAAGACTTCACACTACTTCTACAATCAACACCTAAGGAAGCAGCAGACAAGACATCAGATAACGTACTGCATTGGGCAAATTTGCTGCAAAATACCTCTTTCAAGTGCTGAAGAGCAAAGATGTCTCTTTGAAGACTAAGATGCACCTAACCCAAGCCATGGTATATGCAACTGCTTCATATATATGTGAGAGCTGGTCAACAGTTCAAACCTACCAGCTGCTCCAAGGGAAGAAGATGAAGGAATCTGCTTCCATAAATATTTACAGCTTTGGAAACCCATGGGGGTTGCTATAAGTAGGAATTGATGGAAGTGTTTTTTTTTTTGTTTTGTTTCGTTTTTTGGTATGTACTATAAGTATCACTTGGGGTTCTTGTTACACTATAGATTCTGATTCAGTATCTGTAGGATGGAAATGAAAATTTTAAGCAGATGGCTGAAGTTGAATGAACTATTTCAAAGCCACGGATTTTACAGATATGATGGTGTAATGCGTAACACATCTGACTGGTAACCAGAAGGCTGGTGGCTCAAACTCACCAACGACTCCTTGGAAGGAGGAATAGGTAATCTACTACTGTACTGCCTCGGAAACCCAAGGAGGGGTCGCTATAAATCAGAACTGACTCCACAGCAGTGAGTTTGGTGTTTTGAGTTTTAGAGAGGTAGGACATTGCTGCTGCTGTTGTTAGGTGCTGTAGAGTCATCTCCAACTCATGTTCAACCTTATGTAGAACAGAACAAAACACTGCCTGGTCCTGTGCCAGCCTCATGATACTTGCTATATCTGAGCCCACTGTTGCAGCCACTGTGTCAATCTACCTTGTTGAGGGCCTTTCCCTTTTTTGTTGACCCTCCACTTTACTAAGCCTGATATCCTTCTCCACAGAACGGTCCCTTCTGGTAACATGACCAAAGCAGGTGAGACAATGTCTGTCCATTCTCTCTTCCAAGGAGCACTCCAGCTGCACTTTTTCCAGGATAGATTTGTTAGTTCTTTTAGTAGTCCACGGTACTTTCAGTATTCTTTGCCAACACCAGAACTCAAAAGTATCAACTCTTCTTTGGTCTTCCTTATTCACTGTCCAGCTTTCACATGCATATAAAGCAACTGAAAATACCATGCCTTGGGTTAGGTGCCTCTTAGTTTTCAAGGAGATGTCTTTGCTCTTCAGCTCTTGAAAGAGATTTTTTGCAGCAGATCTGCCCAATGCAATACATTGTCTGATGTCTTGACTGCTTCTTCCACTGGTGTTGACTGTAGAACCAAGTAATATGAAGTCTTTGACAACTTCAACCTTTTCTTCATTTATCATGGCTGCTTACTGGTACAGTTGTGAAGATTTTGTTTTCTTTATATTGAGGTGTAATCCATACTGCAGATTGTAGTCTTCAGTCTTCATCAGTAAGGGCTTCAAGTCATCTTCACTTTCAGCAAGCAAGGTTGTGATGTCTGCATATCGCAGGTTGTTAAAGAGTCTTCCTCCAATCCTGATGCCACGTTCTTCTTCGTATAGTCCAGCTTCTCGGATTATTTGCTCAGCATATAGATTGAATAAGTATGGTGAAAGGATACAACCCTGACACACTCCCTTCCTGATCTTAAACCATGCAGTATCCCCTTATTCTGTTTGAACAACAGCCTCTTAGTCCATGTACACATTCCTCATGAGTATTATTAAGTTTTCTGGAATTCCCAGTCTTCCAAAGTTATCCATAATTTGCTATGATCCACAAACTCAAATGTTTTTGCCTAGTTGATAAAACACAACTATACTAGTTGGTGTTATTTATAGTGCAAAAGAGCATTCTCTATGACATTTTTCAATCACACAATTAGTTTCTTTAGCAAAGTATGTGAATACTCACACTCAGCAACACAAAGATCCAAACCACCTTACACCCAATGGAGTCTATTAGAAAAGGATTCTGTAGGCAAACCTTCAAGAAAATAGTTTCCAGAGGCAAAACTGGACTGCTTACTCTGCATTCTGCATGCCTATTCTATCAATTCAGAACCATGGTCTCAACATTTCAGAGCTGAGCTCATGTGGAACTTTTTATGAAGGTGGGGGTCCAAACTGTCCTTGGATAATGCTACAGCAGTGAAAGCAGAAACTCACTGACAGGGTGTTCTCACCCTCCTCCCACCCTTGCTCCTGCCTTATTGTTCCAGGGCCCTTCCCCTCCCTGTTCACTGAAAACAATATAGATGAATGAACCGTGGAGAAAAGCTCAGCTACAACCATTATCAGAACATGAGCAAATATATTCTACTTGCCGAGGAAGATCATAAGAGCACCTCTAGACCCTACAAAATTAATTCCTGCCTGCCCCATTTCAGGTGTGATGTGGAGTACTTTTGTAGGTGTAATAAAGTGCTGCCTCTTCCTTTCAGAGGTAAATAGGATGTGTGCTTCAGCTGCTCACTGTGGAGCAGGCAGTGTTGTCACATGCAAATGCTCTCTGCTTTCTACTTCTGAGACCAAGATACTTGGGAAGGATACGTGCTTGTCAAATCATGATCAGAGGCCAACAAGGCTTACCCATTTGTGGTTTTCCTGGAAGATGGAATTTACTTGTGAATACTCACCCCTTCATATATCAATAACTTCTTCACTCATTCTACAGAGAGGAAACCACTCATTCTACTAAGAGGAAACCAGTCACAAGTATGAAGGTCAGGGGAAGCACTGAGATGGGCCCTTACCTCTGTGTATCATTTGTCCTTTTTGCAGCTTCAAGGTCTTGCTGAATCCTTTCCAGCTCATTTGTCAACAAGGTGTTTTCTTCAGAAAGCCTCTGTAATTCGATTCTACAAGCAAAAGTGGAAAGAGAAAGAATGGGGGAACTCCAGAAGCTGACTACAACATGCAATCCATCTGCATCTGGTCACAAAATTGGAAGCCAAAACGATTCTGCAGTTGACATTTCCCCTCTTCAAGTCAATACAGAGCATGATTTTCCTTTTATTCTATCCAGGATTAACACATTTTGGTTTGTATCTCCCAAGAGGAAGCATCTTGGTTTTATTTACTTTATGTTTATAGATGACTTGTTTCTAGATTTTTTAACCTCTCATTGCACACATGAGAGTGACCACGTTTGGTATTGATGCAAAATATTAGGTGTGAGACCTTGATTCTTCCAAAGGATATTCCCTGCTAGTGACCACCAGCATGGGCCTGAGAAACATCAGGGATGAAAGGCCAAACTACATAGACACTGACTGAGATATTTTCATCTTAGTGAGAGTTCCAATCTCCTGTACTCCAAGGTCTACACTAGAAGGAAAAACCTAGGAGACCCCCCCCCCATCAATTTATGCAGACCTGACGCAAGGTGAATCCCTCAAGAGGGAAAAGCAGGCATGACCAGCTACTACATGAACCAAGTCTGACTGGAGCCATATTTTCTTTCTGACAACTCTTAGAGAACATCTGTCAAGGGAGCAGTATCAATTTATGACAGGTAAGTATTTCACTTTGCTCAAAGCAAAGAATACCAAAAAGATGTTTACTTGTGTTCTGTTGACTATGCAAAAGCATTTGATTGTGTGGATTATAACAAATTATGGATAACATTGAGAAGAATGGGAATTCCAGAACAGTTAATTGTACTCATGAGGAACCTGTACATAGACAAGGAGGCTGTCATTCAAATAGAACAAGGGGACACTGCATGGTTTAAAATCAAGAAGGGAGTGTGTCAGGGTTGTATCCTTTCACCATACTCATTTAATCTATATGCTGAGCAAATAATCTGAGAAGCTGGACTATATGAAGAAGAACATGGCATCAGGATTGAAGGAAGGCTCATTAACAACCTGTGATACACTGATGATGCAACTTTGCTTGCTGATAGTGAAGATGACTTGAAGCACTTATTGAGGAAGACTGAAGAATACAGTCTGCGGTATGGATTCCAAAAAAACCAAAGTCACTGCCGTGGAGTCAGAGCCAACTCATAGCTACCCATCCTTGGATTTCTGAGGTGGAGTCACTACGAAAGTAGATTGTCCTACCTTCCTTCTGAGGAGTGGCTGGTGGGATTGAACCACCAGCCTTCTGGTTAAGCAGTCACATGCCTTAGTCACTATGCTACGAGAGCTCCCACAGTTTGGATTACATCTCAGTATAAAGAAAAAAAAAATTCTCACAACTGGACATGTAAGCAGCAGACTGAAAAGATTGAAGTTGTCAAAGACTTCACAATGCTTGGTTCTATAATTGACACGAATGGAAGCAGCAGTCAGTACATCAGACAATATATAGCACTGGGCAAGTCTGCTGCAAAGGACCGCTTTTAAGTGCTGAGGAGCAAAGATGTCTCCTTGAGGATGAAGATGCACCTAACACAAGCCATGGTATTTTCAATCACCTCATATGCAAGTGAGAGCTGGACAATGAATAAAGAAGACCAAAGAAGAATTGATGCTTTTGAGATGTGGTGCTGGCAAAGAATGCTAAAAGTACCATGGACTGCTAAAAGAACTAACAAATCTGTCCTGGAGGAAGTACAGCCAGAATGCTCTTTGGAAGTGGGAATGGCCAGACTCCATTTCACCTATTTTGGTCATGTTGTCAGAAGGGCCCATTCCCTGGAGAAGGATGTCATGCTTGGTAAAGTGGAGGCTCAATGAAGGAAGGGAAGGCCCTCAATGAGATGGATAGACACAGTGGCAGCTGTGATGGGCTCAAGTATAGCAGGGATCATGGAGCTTGCACGGGACTGGGAGGTGTTTTGTTCTGCTGTGCATAGGGTCACTATGAGTGGGAGATGACTCATTGGCACCTAACAACAACAACTATTTTACCAACAAAGATCCCTAATGAAGCAGTTTAAAACCCATACTTAATCTTGCTGATATGTATTCCCCTGAATAAGTCTCTGTCTGGCATTCTGTTAGCTTCTAATATTTCTAATCTAAAACTACTCAAAATGCTACATAATCTTTGCTGTACTTATTTTATGTATTATGTTTATAGTATCAAGAATATAAGTACTCTTTCATCTGACTTCATTTTATCTCCCCAGGAACTAAGGAGAAAAATAATAGAAGCCATGGCAATTTTAAAAGCAGCAAAGGGTTTCAATCAGGGGTGTGAAATAAGTGAAATCTGCATTTTGAAATGATCGCTCTGGCTTCAGTATGGAAAACAAACTAATTCAAGGAGTTTGTGTTTGTGTTGGGTATTGGGTGGAATTCTCCTTCCAGTTGCCCACCCCTATCCACCAATCAGATTGTGTGAAGTCAACTATGAAATGTGTGACAGTCCTCACAGAAGTAATGGAAAGCTCAAAGGGTACTCAAAGAAAACAAAACCTGGAAGTGGAAATCAAAGCTGTGTGCATTAAACAACAAAAATATAGGGTTACTCTGAGGCCTGTCAGGATGAAGGGCAAGCTGCACCACTGAATGTACCATTAGGTAAGTGACTTTGAAGAGAGTTAAAGTTGGTCCTCCAACTTTCTCTCTGAGAGAGAGAAAAACCCCTAGTAAAGCTCCCAGGGATTAACATCAAACAAACATGAACTCACAATCAAAGATCATCAAAATATACACAGAAAGAAATCACCAATAGGCATCAGTGAAAACACAAAAACAGAATTAGAGTCTTTAGGAACTTCAGATATTGGAATGATCAGATATAAAAGAAAAGTAAATATTATGAAATTGTTATATAAATAAAAATTGGAAATAAGAAATGAATAAGCAATAATAAAAAAAAAAATGTCAGATAGAACCAAATAGAAGCTATAGAAATGAGAGGGGAAAAAAGTCAATGCCATAATAAAAACTCACTGTATTGGTTAGACAATAGATTAGACAAAGCAGAAGAAAGAATTAGTGACCTGGAATACAGATATAAAAAATGACCAAGAATGTGGTACAGAGAGAAGAGGAAATGGAAAACATTAAAGAGTTAGGGCATGGAGGAAAAAGTGAAAAGTGAAAAGATCTTACAGAGAAAACAGGGAGACAAAAGGAATATTTTAAGAATAATGGCTGAAATCATTTAAAAAAAAAAAAAAGGACCAAGTTTACAGGTCTGATCAAAAGCCTGGTGAAACCCCTGAGAATATGGCCCCTAGCTGCCCTTCAGGTTTGGAATTGAACCCACTCCTGTGGCTTCCAGCCAAGCAAAAGACAGGTATATGAGCTAAACATTTACATTAGGTAAATCTACTCCTTGGAGAGATGAATCATGGGAGAATAAAAGGGCTGTGTATGCACAGGGAGACAGCTTCGGGGACAGGAATGTATGGCTGGGAAGGACACAGGGAAGAGGTAACTATGTCATGAGACAAAGTGTATGTGAGCTGCTGTGTGAGAAATGAATTTGCTCTGTAAACTATCACCTAAATCACAATAAAAATTAAAAAGAAAAAAAGAATAATGGCTGAGAATTTTTCACAAGACACAAATAAATATATCCAATAGGCAAAATATTTTATAAGTGGAATAAATAAAAAGAAAACCACACCTATACCCTAAAACCCAAGAGTTCCATTCCTAGGTACATACCAACATAAACGTGTACATATATTGCTCAAAATTCATGTACCAGAACTTTCATAGCTATATTATTTATAATAGCCAAAAAGCTGAAACTACCCAAATGCCTATCAACAAGAAAATGGAAAAACTGTAAATGAATGAAATCTCACAAACATATTGAACCAAGGATACCAGTTGAATGATTCCTTTATATAAAATACAAAAACAGACTAAATTAATCTATGCTTTTAGAAGTTAGGATAGTGGTTATACCTGAGGAGTCTTGGAGGATTTTATTTCTTGTTCTAGCTGCTGGTAACACAACACGCTTAATTTCTTCTCGTTGTAAACTTACGGGCATTTTTCTTTTTTACACATGTTGTTGTTGTTCAAGGACTCATAGCAACCGCTCCTTGGGTTTCGGAGGCAGGATCACTACAGAAGTGGATTGTCCAACCTTCCTTCTGAGGAGTGGCTGGTGGGTTTGAACGCCAGCCTCCTGGTTAGCAGTCAAGAATCTTAGGCACTATACTACCAGAGCTCTCAATAAAATGTTTAAAAGAAAAATATACACACCTAAACATGGTAGCGTAGTGCCTAAGGCACTTGACTGCTAACCAGAAGGCTGGCGATTCAAACCCACCAGCCACTCCATGGAAGGAAGGTTGGGCAATCCTACTTCCTTAGTGATACTGCCTCGGAAATCCAAGAAGGGGTCGCTATGAGTAGGGGCCAACTCGACAGCAAATAACAACAGCAACAAACATAACAAAGAAAAAAAACTAATGATTTAAAAAAAAAAAAAAACTTGCTGCCATTTGCTGCCATTGAGTCAATTCTAACTCCGCAACCCCCATAAGTTTCCAAGGCAGTAAATCTTTACAGAAGTAGATTGCCTCATCTTACTCCTGCAGAGCAACTGGTGGGTTTGAACTGCTGACCTTCTGGTTAGCAGCCAAATGTCTTACTCACTGCACTGCCAGAGCTCCTTACCTAAGATGTGAAAGTACCAGAAACAAAACTCAGATCACCTACTGTGGTGAGGATGTCCTAATCTCCAGAACCTGTGAATATGATGTTACGTGGTCAAGGGGAATTACAGTTGAAGATGAAATAAAGTCTGCTATCCCACTGACCTTGAGATGGGGATATTATTCTGAAGTAACCTAGTGGGCCCAATGTAGTCACCAGGGTCCTTTTAAGGGAAAAAGAGAGGCAGAAGAGTGGAGTTAAAGTGATGCAATGTAAGAAAGACTCAATCAGCCACTGATGATTTTGAAGGTGAAGGAAGGGGTCACAAGCCAAGGAATATAGGTAATTTATAGAAGCTGGAAAAGGAAAGAACAGATTCTCCTAAAGCTTGAAGAAAGGGATGCAGCCCTGCTGACACCTTGATTTTAGCCCAATTTAATTCTAAGTTTTAGGTAAAGTTAATTTAAATAAAAACAACAAACAACTTTAGCTACATTTTAGCCTATTTTAGACCTCTAACTTTTAGAATTGTAAGATAATGAATGTGTCTTGTTTTAAGCCACTCAGAGTCCATGCTCTGCAACACTGGGAAAAGCGTTTCCACATGTCACACTTCTGAGATAGAGCATTCACCAGCCTGACTCCCCAAGTAAGGCCAGGGGAGGAGAAACCTATCTCAACCTGTGGCCCTCTCAGTACTCTGTCCAACCAACTGAAATCTTCAGGACTCCCTCCCACCTCAGCTTACTCCAGTAGATGTTGGCCTTTGTAGCCAGCATCTCAAGTCTCACAGTTAGTACCAAGAACCCTCGCAGAATGCAAAAAGCATGCAGAGTAGACAGGCCATCTCTGCTGCTGCCACTTAATCACTGTTAGTCACCCAGGCAAAGACATCGCTAACATATACAGTCGGAATTAAATGAAGACATGTGGGTTCGTAGGCAGAGGGCTTCAGAGATGCCCCAGGAATAAAGTGGGGCTCCCAAGGACAGTCTATTTTGGGCCCTGTGAGACAAGCACAAACTTCCTACGGACAAAGGTAGTGGACAGACTTGCGTCCAAGCCACAAGAGTCTTCACTAATGGGTTCTGGGGAATCTATGCATGGAAAGCCTCCCTTGTCCCACTCACTGGGCATCCAGGGACACCATGGCCTGAGTGCAGACCAGGCTTGGTTTATACCCCTGGATAGTCATGGGGTACATGGCCTTCATGAGTTAGAGCTCGCCAGCCTGTCAGGAGGAAATAAGAGTATGCTACAGAGTCATCAGGGACGGGATGAGTGGGTTCACATGTTTAGGGATAGATAGAGGCAAGACTGTTCTCTCTTTGAGTTGGCTTCCTTCCCCAGAGCCTGAACTATATCATCTAGCCATAGGAGTCTGGTTTTCACTTCATTCTTCTCTCTTTCCAGTGCCATTTTTGCCTCCTGTCTCTGTATAGCCCCTTCCCATTCTTGCCATCTTGCCTTGGCAGTCCCCATCCTGTGCTCACCCTCCAGGGCACTCAGGCTCCTCCTGAAAACTGGCTCCCCTTGTAGGTTGTTTCCATCCACTTCTAACCAGAGTTGCTCCTGGGCTTTGGGCTGCCACTGCTCAGATGACAGCTGGTTCTGACTCTCTGGGTTGCTAGCTAGACATTGATTTTTCCAGGAACATTGCTCCACCCACTCCAGGTGGCCGCACACATGACTATGTCTCTGAAGAAGCAAAAGCTACTTCTACAGTATCTAGCAAATTGGGATAGCCCTCTCTGATGCTGATGCTCCCAATTGGCCCTTTGGGTTGCAGGTCTGGGACTGCGGCTGGGCTATGGACAGAATCTGCACAGCTGTGCAGCCAACATGGTACATGCTTAGCCTCTGCTCCCCCAGGACTAGACCCACCTCCTGCTGGTCCCACCTCCTTCCAGATTTCTGTGGTCCCCAGCAGGCCTGGTGGCAGCTGCCTTTCCCCCTCATGATCTGCTGCTACAGCTTCCTTCTTCAAGAGGGCCCTCAGCATCTCTGCCTCCTGGGCAAGCCTTTCTACTTGCTTCTTATGAGCAAGTTCTAACAACTTCTCCTTCTTGAGAGCAAATGGTTTATACATCTGAGCTTGCTTTTCACTCATCAGCTCTCTATTTTGAGTTGCGGCTTCCTGCACTGGGCCAGGATCTCCTTCTCCTTTTCATCCCTCCATCTCTTCTCTGAATCCATCTGTGCTGCCACCTCTCTCACTTGCAGCAGGTGCCTCTGCAGCATCTCTTCCTTCTCATGCTGATGTTGCTGTGACAACTGCTTGTGGAGGACTGCCTGCTTCGCTTCCATTCACAAGAGCTTCTGGCTCAGCTCAGCCTCTGCCTCCTTCCTACAGAAACAATTTCACATAGACCTGGCTCAGAAACACAAATGACACATACCCCATAGGGCCACTCTCCTGGGTCAGAAAAGGCCCCGTGAGCTTGTGTTCTAAGCATGCAACTCCTCCCTCCTCATCCCTGATGCTCTTAGAGAGTTCATGCACAGGATCTACCCAATAGGGCAACACAGATGTCACTTGTTACATGTGATTTTTAAAATATAAGTTTAAACCAATTAAAACTGAATAAAATTAAAACTCAGTTTCTTGGTCATACTAGCCATCTTTAGTGGTCACATGTGGCTGGTGGCTCCTGCCCTGGACAGACAAACAGAGGACATGTCCATTATCACAGAAAGTTGTATTTGATAGTGCTGGCCTAAAGTTTTAGTGAGATGGGTGAAACGCACCTATAGTCAAAATTACCCTCAAAAACACATTAAACTGCTTGGAAAGGGGCATTTGGAAGCCCCAGACTGAGTGAAGTGAGGCTGAGAGAAGCCAACCTGGGAAAGCCAGGGTAGCTATCAGCACATCAGAAGCATGCAATGTGGCTCTATTCACAGTCATGGTGTGAGGGGGCCCTTCCAGCCAGCTAAGGTTGCTCCTGGGACCAGGCCCAGATGACAGACCCTGTCCCTCTGTAACCTCTGGGAACCTGAGGGGAGTTGGGAGTGGTGGCCATGGGTGTAAGACCAAGCAGTTTAGAAAGTGGTTAGTCCCTTTATCACAGAGCTCCTAGGCCTAAGAGAAAATAAGGTAAAGCTTAGGTGAAGCACATAGCTTTTAAAAAACTTTCTCTCAATCATCCAAGAGGGGACTTTCTGTTACTGGATCCCTTAGGCCTGAGGCAGCTCTGTGGCAGCATCTGGGGTGGGAAAGAAGAAAAGAGTACACACTTGGGCTGATGGTGGTACACGGCTTTTTCTCAACTCCCTTATTCAGGCTGCCCTAAATTCCTCATAACACAGAAGGAAGAGTAGATGGTTGCTGGGGACAACAACCTCCCCAGGTCATAGGACATGAAAGACAGCTCAGTCCCCTGCTGTTAGTGTGGTGCATGGCTCCCATATCTGAACCTAGCCCATGTTCCCAGTTCCTGAGGAGGCTTCTCAGGTCTGGCCAGCATGCTGGTCCAGCTGTTGTCCAAGCTGGGAAGGGTCCAAGACTCTCTGTGGGAGAGAGTCTCTGGTAAATGGACATTGGATTTGCAGTATATACCTCTAAGTGAGACCCACTTGAGGAAGTATGGGCATGTGGTTCTCATATACTGATGCCATATTCATTTTTCCAATTTTTTTTTTCATCCTTGCTCATATATTAGCTTCTCAGAAATTCCCTAACTCAAATTAATTTTCTTTCCAATTGCTTTATGACTTTTAGACCTTTTCTCCATTTCCTGACATGCTACAACACATCCTGGAAAATTAGAGTATGACATTAAATGAGAAAAATGTTTTGCTACCTTTGTTCTTTGTTACAGGGAAGTCTGAATCAGAAGATAAATATTAACGAGCTGATAGCCTATAAAGCAAATTGTTTCATGGCCTAAGTTTTATGATATATTTCTAATTTGAAGTTAAAATACCTCATACAATGACTTGTTCTTTCCACCATCATCTCTCTGCTCAGAGAAATATCACTCAGTAAGCAGGTATTATAGTTCTGATAGATTTCTAAACTCAATTTCTAATTTGGGTTCCTGGCAAGAACTCTAGACATGAGGCTCTGAGAAGAAACAGGCAAGCAGACCTTACTTGCTGTAGTTCCTGCTGGTACCTCAGGCACAACTCCTCTTCCTGTTGCTGAACTGGTGCTGGAAGCTCCCTGGTCAGGATTGGTTCCCCATCCCCCAGCTCCTGCAGCTGCTCCTGCAGGCTGTGGATGGCCTCCTGTGACTGTGTGTAGAGTGCCTCCAGGTCAGCTCTCTGGCCCTCCAACACACTGATCTCATGCTTGAATACCTGATGCATTTCACTTCTCTCCTTCTCAAAGTTCCTTTTCATTAGGTCGATTTCCTGCTCATAGTAATTTACCTGAAAAGAGAAACATAAGATGAGGGTCTCCTAAAAATTAGCTCCTGATAATATAATACAGAAATACAAAGTTGTGAGGCATGCCAAGGAGCAAAGGCCTGTGGAGGACCAGACGTAAAGATAGCAGCAACGCCCCAAGAGCTCAGTGCCCATAAGGGAGGTCCCATTAGTAGGGAGGGCAGAGCAGAGGATACAATCCTCACTGAAAGAATGCAGAGCACTTTTCGGACCACTGGGCAACTGGACACCCTGCAGACCTGTAGAAAGGATATTATCTGGCCATGGGAGCCACAAGTAAGTATTTGCATCCAGGAGCCCAAAGGCTGGGATGCAAGCATGAGCAGCCACCACCCTGGGCTCTTGAGGTTAGAAGAATGTGGCACGTGATGATAAGTTGTGGATATTGTCTCTTAAAATAGTCATAATCTAAGAGCAGAACAGGAGACAGCTTCATCTGAGAAGATCTCATCAGCCAGAGTAATCCTGGTTCTAAAGCTACTGAGCATCCCGGAAAGGACAAATCAATCCAAGGGCAATATAAGCTTAAAATAAGGTAAGTTCAGTTTCCTCACAGCTGAGTGTGAGGACTGGGAGTAGTTGGGGATGCACTCAGCATGTCACCCCTTACGTGACACTGAGAAATGCATGACCTGCTAGTCTGCTGTCCTACCTCCCTCCAGGTACTTCTGCTTACATTTCTCTGCAAACTTCCCAGCCCATCACAAGCCAGAGAATGCTAAGGCAGACACCTGCAGAAGGACCAGCACATAGCACAGCTTTCCTTTCATGTGGCAGAAGGCCCCAGAATTGCCTTGAGGATGCTCTCATCCCCTACCTTGGTTTCCAGTTGAATATTGAGGTCTTGGTAATGTTTCTTCACCTGTTCCATCCTCATCTCTGTTTCTAGGCTCACTAGAGTAGGGCCACACACACATGAAATTAGGCCTGCAAAGAGGAAGGAACTTTAGCTTCTCTCATGCAGAGAACATCACAGGTCCACTCAGTTTTCCTTTTCCCACCTAACAACAAAGCACAGACTCCACTTGCACCTCTGCAAGGGAAGGGTGGTCCTAGAAGAGGGCACATGCCCAGGTTTCTGTTCTACCACAGTGACAGAAGACACCATGCACCACAAATGGTCTGTTGTGCCGCATTCCATACAGCAGAGTCTTCTAGAACCGCCATTTCATGCCTTCACCAGAACAGACTGCTCAGGGCTATGACTAGGAAGCTCCTACACAGCCCACCACCACCCTCCCAGTCACTACAAATTGGGAGTAACACAATACTTCATTCTCCAGTCTGTTTCCTAGCAATGCTGGGAACACAGAGGAGATGGAGAGACAGAGAAAGTGGTGTGAGCTGGAGCATAGGCAAACCTCTGGGCTGTGTGATGCCTGGTGGTAAGGCCTCACTATATGTAGATTGACCACACACATCTGCATGGGTTGTTTATTAGTTCTCTTCATGTTGGCCTCCTCTTCTGTATTATTTATTATGGTGTTGTGTAAGTAATGCTGGATCTCAATAAACCAACCAGGCATACTAAATAGTCACGGAATGAGAAAGAGTGATGTGAGCAATGCCTTGGTCCAGAGGACACTCCTCCCAACATGTATCAGTACCCTGCTGCCTATATACCAGGCACATTTGTAAGCTGGGTGTGTTGCTAGGGCTTGTAAGACAGCTGGCCTGAGACTTGGAATTGCATTTGTACCATGGCTAAGGTTTCAACATGTTGTGCTGAGGAAGGAAAGTGGGAAGAGCCACCCGCCTTCACCACTGCCTTGAGAATGGTGACAGACTTAGGCACTGGGTCCAAGAAAACCTGGATAAGCACCTCTGGAAAGAAAGCATTGCATTGCCTTGGAAACTGGGAACTGGCCAATTTTCTGGGCCAAATGGACCAACCGGAGTTCTCATCTGACTTGATAGTCCACATCACCCATGCTCACTGCAACCCTGACTCTTATTATTCCTCCTGACAGCAGACAGACCACTCTTCACTGGAAGGGGCCAGCCAGCATCTGTGCTGCTTCTATAAAAGGTTATCATTGGGCAGATAGGGAGGAGGGGAGAGAAAAGGTCACACTGTGAAAACGCTTAAGTTTATTAGTGATGACACAAAGATTAGATCTGATTTCTTGGGCCATAGCCCCAAGTCCTTCTATCTAGGCAGACCCAAGACTTCAGAACCCAAACCTTAGTGGTTCCTGCCAAAGGCCACATACTCTGTGTAGCTGAGGGTTCTAGACAAAGGGGACAAGAACTGCCCACTTCCATGGGGGTCTGCTGTATGGCAGAACATCTGGGGATCAGAAATGGAGGCAAAGGCCATCCACAGTGCCCCTGGTTTCTCTGGATTGGGTGTAGCTGGCAGTATCTGGCTCATACTCGAGCTTGCTAGTGAGACTGGTGGCTGTAGGGTCACCTGTGGGTTATAAGCCTTCAGACTCCAATATGTAGCCTGCAGGTGAGCACAGTTATGTAGGGGTCTGAGGAGGCTGGACTCACACAGAGAAGCCACGAAGGCCCTATGTTGGCTCTTTTATGGATAATTCTTTTCTATTTTGTTAAATAAATAGCTTTAGATCATTAAAGCCCTAAAAAGACCTGTAATGGAGGAAGATGCTCTCTGAAGTGCTGGACTGCCAAAGTCTATGAGTTGCCTTGAGGAGTCTCCATAGGCCTTCAAGGCAGCAGTGGACTTAGGCAAGGACCAATGCACTGGTATTGCTGTGCAAGTCAGCAAGGCTGTGAGGCCATGCTGTAGCAACACCCACTGCTGCCCAGCAGAGCACAATGAACTCAGAGCTAGTCTCCATCCCTAGAAGGACTGCAACAAACATCCAGGGCAGCTTTGTCACCTGAATCCCCTTGTTCTTGTCTCTAGAAGGAGCTGAGAGCAGTCAAACACAGCCCACAATATAGCTAGAACTTGTCTTGAACCTCAGCACCAAGAGGGTCTTAAAGCAGGAGACCCTGGTAAACCTCTACTTATAACTCAGACACACAGCTCTCTGTGTTGGGGGCACAACTGATGGTGTGTCACCTGGGGGCTCTTGACCTCACTCAAGCTGCTCTACGCACTGGGGCCCTGTCCCTATCAACCGTCATACCCACCTTGGCTGAGACCCCTGAGGAGGCACTTTTATAATCAGTAACAGGAAACTTTAAGCCCTCTCTGAAATTCATTAACATGTTTTAAATAGAATTTAGTTCCTCTTTCTTTGTAAGAGTTTTCACATCACAGTTCACAGATCAGAGGATAATATGTAAACCCTGGACTGTGACCTGGGATAAGGGAACATGGCTCCTGTGTTTGCTGTCACCTCCCCTCACTGTCTGCGCCCAGCTCCTGCTGAAAGTTTAACACACAGTTCCTTACTTAGTCCTCACCACAACTGTGAGGGTGATTTGGAAACACTCACTGCAGATGGACATGCCTTCCATGAGGTCATTATGGAGCCATAAAACCTTTCCCATTTCTGTACAACTAGTAAAGCTCTCACCCTCCTCCACAAGCCTGGAAGGCATTCAGGTGGGTGGTAATATTATGTCTGGGGGCAGGTGTTTGTATGCTGGGAAGCGGCTCTTGACACCAAAATTCCCTGGGCCAAGAAGACAGCCCAGTCAGCTGAAACAGGTGGACTTTTAGAGCCCAGAGCTCCCCCCCATCTGTACCCACAGGACAGGATCTACCTTCTGGACCATCTGCCGATGGAAGCCATCCATCTGGACAGGTACTGAGCCGGCCATGCTGGGTCTTGTGCAGCTGCAGGCCTTCCAGTGCAGCCTGAAGCTCATCGTTGTGGTCCTGCAGGTCCTGTTAGCAGAGCAGAGACACCACTGCAGCTTCTATGCTATGCTGCACTGCAGGCTTCAGGGAGCAATGCAGTGCAGTGGGTTATACAGAATGCCCAGGAGGAAGCATGAAACATTCAAATTGCCTTTAAGTGACCAACTACACAGTGAGGTAGATAAGACAGTAGTCATTCCCTTGGCTTTCTTATGCCCTACAAACCAAATTCCAAACTCAATGCCATTAAATCGACTCTGACTCATAGTGACCCACCTTGGGTTTCCAAGGTGGCAAATCTTTACAGAAGTAGATTGCCCAGTCTTCAAACCATGGAGTGGCTGGTGCATTTGAACTGCCAATCTTTTGGTTAACAGTCAAATCCCTTAGGAACTATGCCACCAGAGCTCCTTTTATGCCCTACATTACCTCTATTACTGCTTTCATAAGAGGAGTTCCAAAAAAGAAAAAAAATAAGTGGAGTGGATATGGAGAACAAATACAGAACACAGACATAAATGACCACCAACATCTGAGTCAAAAGGCACGTGTGTGACTCCATTGTGGTGATGGGACACAGGCAAGAGAAGCAACTCACTGGGGCTCTTTTTCTGAAGGGCTCTACAGCTGTTAACTGCCAGTGAGGTACCACCAGCTTCAGATAACATGTCACACAGTAGAGAGGATGGGTCACAAGGATGGCTAGCGTCTGATGAGCTGCACAAAGTAGGGGCTGCAGGGTAAACAGGTGGAGCTGGGAGGCTGCATTGATGCTGCACCTGGACTACAGTGAGCAGGGTCTGCACACAGGTTAAGGAAACACACTGTAATAAGCAAACTTAGTCACCAGGTTTTTAAAGGGAGGAATCTTCCTAGACAGTTCTCAGTCACACAGACTTAAGGCAAACATGGCAACACATATCCTGCCTGTGGGGCCCCAGCTCCCTTCATGAATGTGGGGCTTGTAGTCTCTATCCCTTCTGTGTACCTGGGGGATGGGAGGCCTTGGGACTGTGTAGACCTACTAAGCATGGCAGCAGTGATAACAGGTGCTCCAAGGATCAGCTCTGCCTGGCTTCTCTATTTAGGAAACTCACTCTGGGGGACACTACCCACTATACTACGAGGATGCCCAAACTAGCCCATGGGGCAGCCACATGGTGAATGAGGCTTCACCCAGTTCTGGCCTAGCCAGTAAGATATGCCGCTAAGGCCACAACATCATATGGCAAAAATAAGGCATCCTCACTGTGCCCTCTCTGAATTCCTGACCCACAAAATCCATGAGCATATTAAATGGCTGTTTCAGGTCACTAAGCTTTAGGGTAGATTGTTATGGACCCATAGTAACTGGAACAACATGTATTGCCTACACAAATTACAAATAAAATATATCCCCTTAGAAAAAGGGTATTGATCTTAAGTGAAAAACAAAACAAAACAAAAAAGAGTTCTTCAAATAAAATATGTTAATAGAAGGACATTCAAACAGGATTGGAAGAATCCAAGAGGAAAATGGTACCTTTCCAGGTTCCAGTTTACCAGTTGTCACCAACCCCATGTGTGTCAGAGAACTGTGTTCCATAGGGTTTTGCAATGGTAGATCACCAGACCTTTCTCCCAATATACCTCTAAGTGGACTCAAACTGCCAATCTTTTGATTAGCAGCTGAGCATATTAACTGTTAGAACCACTGTAGAAAATTTAAGTGGCATAAGTAGGTCACATTCCCTTTCTACTGGACAGCAGAGATCTGGGAGGCACCCATACAGAGTCACCTCTATCTGATACCCTGCCTCTTGTGTGGTTCTTTTTGCCATCTAAAATGGGTATTATGAAAGTATATACGCATCCTTAAAACTCAGCGGTGCCAGAAACCTGGGGCCTCTTATGGGATGAGACCAACCTCTCTGTTCTTGGAATACTCTTGGGAATGCAGTCAATTATAACTGACTGAGATGTATGGAGCCTGAACACCAGCAGCAGGGGCTTAGCATGTCTATGTGGGGAGTTTCTGCATAGGTGAGGATGAGGATGCTGTTTTCAAGTGACCACTTGCTCATGTGGTGTGGATGTTGGTGCTGAAGGAGACAAGAGAGAGCTACTGCACCGGTCTAGGGAGAGTCTTGTAAGGTAGCAAGTCCACTCAAGACTTAAGGATTGAAGTCCACTCAGAATTAAGGATTGATGACTCTGGGCTGCCATGGTTCTTCCCCTTCTACTTGCTTCTTGTTCACGAGAAGAAAGTCACAAAACAATTTAGGTGTCTGTGAAAAGCAGCTCTGGGAGATATATGGGAGCTCTGGTGACATAGTGCCTAAGCATTTGACTGCTAACAAGAAGGCTGGTGGAAGGAAGCCTTGGAAGGAAGGTTGGTCAATCTACTTCCTTAGAGATACAGCTTCAGAAACCCAAGGAGAGGTCACTATAAGTCAAATCAACTTGATGGCAGTGAGTTTGTTTTTTTGTGTTTTTTTGGGAGGTGTCTGCAGGGAGGCTGCCATGGAGGCAGGCTGGCTGGCACAGAAAGATTGAGCAGGCAGGGCTGATTTAATAAGATGAGTAGTGGTGGAGACCTCTGCTAGGAGTTGGTATGGACATGCTGAAAGGGGAATATCTGCATCTGGGGTTTCTGATCAAGGACAAGCAAATTCATTATGGTGTCCAAAGACAAAGCAATAAAAACATCAAACCAAAGAGATCTGATTAACATTTAATACTTCCTTTTACTAAGGGCAGCCTCACCAAGAAAATGAAGATAGTCAGTTGAAAGAGGAAAAACCTAAAATGATAGCTAAATAGGAAGGAAATTCAGCAAACCCATTATGGTGTCTAACCAAATGCACAGGAGTGAAAACATCAATCCAAAGAGACCTGAATAACATCTCATACTCCCTTTTACCAAGGGCAACCTCACAACAACAGAAACAACAACAAAGATTTGCAGTTCAAACAAATTAAAAAAGCAAAAATGATAATTAAATAGGAAGGAGATTCAGTTACAAAGCAAAAAGTATGACTTTCATGTTAAGAAATAGCCTCATTACAAATTACAAGGAAACTCCAAGGTAAGATTTTGAAAAGCTTAGGTGATTCACAGGGGGTAAGGTTTTAAGTTGTATCTTCTGGAGAATGACTATAAAAAATGAGCTCAGACAAGAAGTAGCAATGTCCTAGTAGAATGAGTACCCTAAGCACCTATATCTTGGTCTCTAGAACCATTTCCTTGCCAAAGGAACCAGCACTCATTGAAGAAATGGCTAATTCTAGGGCAAGTGCAGACAAAGTATAAGACAAACCTGGATTATCTTATTATGTCAGTAAGTAAGGAACCACACAACAAAAATGATGGTAAACTGAAACCAAACTCACTGCTGTCAAGTGGTTTCTGGCTCATAGTGACCCCTCCTTGGGTTTCCAAGGCAGTTATCTCTATAGAAATAGATTGCTCAATCTTCCTTCTGAGGAGTGGTTGGTGGGTTTGAACCACCAGCCTTCTGGTTAGCAATGAAATGCCTTAGGCACTACACCACCAGAGCTGGCATGGCACAAAGAATTAGTAGCCACCTTGAAAACACTCCCAGTGGCCAAATCTAGCACAATTTGAGCACCAAAACTTTAAGCACACTAATGAATTACAAACCACTAGGAAAAAATGAGAATTTGTGAGTCCATATCCGTAATAGATTAACAACAGATAGAGATAGGTGATAGCTACCTAGTGAATTAGATAATGCATACAAATAGTTACAGAAACATAGAGAAATAGATAAACAGAGAGAAAAGAGGCTCTGGCTTACATTAGAATGCCAAGGACTAACTGATAGATGCCATAACATTAATTCAATCAAAAAGAAACAATAGAAAAGCACAAAATGAGGGCATTGTATGAAAAAATGGGAGAGGAACCCCAAATAAACAGGAGCTCTGGGAAGCTGTCAATACTAGACCAGCTCTGCAAGTATTAATTAAGGAATTTCTCCAAATGGAAAGGAAAGAACACTAAACAAGTACTCACATCTACACATGGGGTGGGGGGAGAGAAATATCCAACTAAAAAAATAATAATAATAACATGGGAAAGTATATGACATTTTCAAGGATTATATTCAATAGTTATGTTGTACAAGCAATAAAACATCAACTGCATAAGATGTAAGTACATATTAATCTTACTTGATATTGGATATACAGCAATGTCAATGGAGACTCATCAACAGAAAACAGGGAGGGAGGAGCAAAACAGGAATAGTTGTAATGTATTAATGTTGCATGTTAACTTGTTGATTGTATGTTAAATGTTGCTGTAATTGCAAGTTGTATAATGTAGTATTTGTGGTAACCACTAAGAAAACATATATACAAGAAAAGAAGAACCAAAAAAGGTTCATCACATAAAAAAGCTAAACACAAAAAATAACAGAATAATGAGAACAAAAAGAAAAAAAGGATATAATAAACTCAAAAAACAATTAGAAAATTGTATGTAGCAGATACTTCATTTTCAGTAATAACCTTAAATGTACATGGTCTAAACTTCCCATACAAAGTCAGACTGACAGATGGATAAACAAAACCATGAACTGTATTTTTGCTTTTTCACAAGAAACACACTTTAACCATAAAGATACAAACAGACTGAAAATAAAAGGATGAAACAAAAAATATTCCATGTAGTCAGTAACCAAAAAGAAGAGTCTGACCATACTGATGAAAAAAGATATTACATAATAAAAAGGTAAATCCATCAAGAAGATGTAATAATTATAATATATGTGCACCTAGTATCAATGCTTCAAAGCACATGAAACAAATATTAACTAATATGAAAGGAGAAACAGATAAGTCCACAATAAAAAGAAGAGATTGAAGATGTCATAAAAAAATAATAATAAATAAAACTGCCAAGAAGAGAAAGCTCAGGACCAGAGAGCTTCACTAGGGAACTTTTCCAAAAATCCAGAGAAGAGTCAACAACAATTCCATCAAATTTTTGAAAAACATAGGAAAGGGAAGAATACCCCTTA